AGCATGCTTTAGCAGTCGGACGAGATCAGCCTGTGATGGATGGCCTAGGTTCTTATGAAGTCGGGTCAAGGCCTTACGAACAGCCTCGTCATCCTGGGCCAAATCGTCCTTTACCATCATTACTTGATGTTCATGGTATGTCCATGGAACACACACAGGCATGACCTGTTTTGCCAAGGCACGATACTTCTCCACAGTGTTCATGACAGCCAGCACGAATGCTGGGGTGTACTTCCCAGTGAACGTACTTACACGACCAACTGAGGGGTGTGACCCAGCTACAGGAAAATGGCAGCGGTGTTGAGGGTGATGAGATCCGGGACACCTCTTTTCTAGAGTGGACATGGAGGCATGACTAACCAGAAGCCTAATCGGCTTTTGGATGAGTCGGTCTGTGTCGGGCAACCGGAGTCCATATCTACATAAGTCACACTCCAAAGGAAAATACTCTGCCAAAAGTACTTGCATCTCTGGGTATGACCAAATCCCTCTGGGATGCTCGAGCAAGGCCTGTCGTCCGGCTTCAGCCTGCTGGCGGAACAACTCACAGCAGAAACGGACGAAGATCCGGCTCATCCGGACCCGGTGTGCCACCTCCTGCGGTGTCATGTTGAGCGAATTGATATTGAACCAGCCTCCTTCGTCGGTACAGGGCGGACACAGAACCAAGAGATCGGGAGGTGTCTCGCGGAGTTCCCTGGACACTTGATCACGTACAGAAGCCTGGGACATGTCATATCCAGTCAACAAGTCATATGAAACACATTCACCTCCCATTCCAGTGACCAACGGTGCAAATCTTGGGGGGCAAAAAACTTCAGCTACACGAAGAACTGAGTAATCCGCCGGAGTGCCATGCTCTGGAGGTTGTTTCATCTGAACATCTAAATCTCTCAGTTGCGACTTCAGTTGTCGAACGTAATGCACTGGGAGACAATCAAGCGTGGAAGCAAGCTCCTGTGGTCGAAACCAAAACTCGGTACGGGTGTGTAGAACCTGGGAAGGCAACACATGATGATAGTATGACTTACCTTTTTGTGGCTCGATCATTTCATCAAACAAAACAGCATTCGTCGTTTCATCGACAACTCGGCGACGGGTCACGGTTTGCCATTGTGGGCCTTGTTTCCCTATGGTGGGTGTCTTTTGCAAAAAGGAATCATGTCTTACCCAGTACTGAAGTGACTCCGAGTCGCCTGGCAAGGAATGGTCGATCGACGAATCCTGTTCGACCTTGGAAGAGCCAGCTGGCCGCTCCTCAGAGACCGGCGAGGGCATGGATCCTGAGTTGTCAGTGAAGGTGCTGCACATCACTTCTTGCTCAAAGTTGACTTGATCACTGGAGCCAACCACCTTCACTGCAAATTGACCGGCCTCATTGGTCACCAAGGGGACCAACACTTGCTCTTCAAACAATGTCAACTGCTGCTTGCCAAAATCAATGACTGCCTTCAATGTCTGTAAAGCATTGCGTGAGATGAGGAAGGGAGCTTGTCCCCTCACGATGGCGGTTCGGATGGTGCCCTGTTTGCCTCCCAGAGTGACTGGAAGACGAATCACTGACTCGGTGGTCTCCTTCTCGCCATTCCCGAAGCGAAAATGATTCACCTCGTGGATCTCCGTGGGGATTGGAACACCGGCTGCGCGCCACAACTGATGAAACTCTGTCAATGTATCGCGACCAATGATTGATCTGCCACATCCGGAGTCCAAAACTCCAAAGCCAGGTGAACTGACCAAAAGAACTTCTGGATGGGGCAACTCACCAGGCAGCATACCGATGAGGCGTCGCTTCTCACGGAGGATGGACAACGGCGACAAAGGGCACGGGCAAACGCCCGCCATGGCCACAAAGTCTAACCCAGCTTGGGGTTCTTCGTACTCCTGCTCAAGCTCAGCGGCCTCTGAGACAAATGCAGCACCAGTTTCCTACTGGACGAAGAACTGCGACCAGCACCTGGAGGAGTTGTCCGAGGCTGAGTACATTCTTTCGACCAATGTCCAACCACGCCACAACAATGACATTTGGTCTTGCGCTTCAACTCAGCAATCTCCACTCGGTAGCTGCGTTTGAGGTCTGTCGCAGCTCCAAACTTGCGGGACCGCTGGAGTTTTCCAAGCTCCTTCCTGCGGTCCTTCCATGAAATGGCCAAAGCTTCGGCCACCTCTTGCTCCGTGAAGATCTCCTCAGGCTCATGGTCATCTGGCTGAAGGTCGTGGTCGGCCAGAAAAGCCTCAACTTCATGAGCCAGGTCAGAATCTTCGTCCGGACTGAGACCTTCGGGTGCAGTGTTACCGAAGTCCCCTTCTACAATGCTAGCCCCCAAGTGTTTCTTCTTCACGACAAACTCGGGGTAACACGAGCGCATGGAGCGACCAATTTCTTCCCGCTTCAAGACTCCCAAGGATCTGGCCAGAACCACTGCTTTCTGCTCCTCTGATAGGCCAGATCTGTTGAGAATCAGCCATCCGCGAGCCTCTTCAGGAAAGGAAACATTGGTTTTCCTTTCACACTTTTCAAACAGCTCGCTGGCACGCGAAATCCAGGTCTTCAAGTTCTCTCCGTCATGAGCTCGAAGGTTGAAGATCTCGGTCAATGACTCGCTCATTTCATCGCTAGCATCCTTCTGGGGAAAGCGCTTGTCAAGGCGCTCCAGCAACACACGTTCTCCACCTTCTTTCTGGTAGCTAGCTGGGTCAAGGTGTTCCACACACTCCAATGCCTTCCCCGACAAAAGAGTATATATGTAGGCACCTCGTGCCTTGGGTGCCACCTTGTCTTCAAGGGTCAGGAGTTTGTTCATGACCCACTGTTTCCAGCGTTTGTATTCCCGAGCGTCCTCTGATTCGCCCGAGAAGTATTGAAGGCCATGAGCGCCTTCAGAACTCGCCGCCATGGCGATCACGAGTGTCGCACTCCAATCCTATGGAGCGGGAGCTCAGGACTTAACCTGGGCCCCGCTACCAATGTAAAAACATTGGCAGCCGACTCCGATCGGCTACGCACGGGCTTCGTTTCTCCGATGGCCTGGGCCTAGAGTCCCTGCGTCCATGATACGATGTCTCAACCTGATGGGACATCCTGAGATCACGAGTGTCGTTTCAACACATATATATATATATATGTGGCTCTGCTGGATGACTGTGTAGGAGTCACAAAGCATGGGAGTCCTCTTCAGGCAAGGCGCAAAGGGTATATATTGTTGTGCTCTCCTGTTAGGTAACAGTTAGGCTTACGTTCACAAGGGAATTATTCCGGAATACTTACGGTTCCAAAACCTGCTTGATCAAAACAGCACTCGCAGTAAAGTCTGATTGAAAAAACTCTCATCAACCAGCTCCAACGATTCCAAGGCAACATGTAAGGAGCACACATCCGACAATCCATGACTGCCGCCTCGAACCATCTTGGTACCCGAAAGATCGAGGTAGTTTAGAAAGTATCAATTAGGTTGGTTGAAAGCAGAATTAGAATTAACCTATTATACATAGTTAACTTATTGAGTGGCCTACAGCAAAGAACTTTAACCTATATAAACATAACCGTATCTAACCTAAGTTATTCATCTAAAAGCCTCAAAGAACATGTAAAATTCCTTTACAACTTTTGGAACGTTGCACGCCTTGAGTGAGAGACTTGTTGACAAGGACAGTCTTCACTGTGGAGCGTTCACTGAGGGATTTCTTTGAGAGAGTTTTACTGGTGTATTTTGGTTTAGCCCTGGGAGATGTCAACTAATACTTCAACAAAGTTTCACTTTTTGAGTGTTGCGGGCCAGTCGCTCCTGCATTTGAGACATGCATTGCATGTGGTGCGAAATCTTCAGGCTTGCCCCTACTGACTTGAGGTGGGAAACAAGGAGGAGAAACAAAAGAGAACTGCTGTTAAACTTCTAGAGCTGTGGCACATCCACATTCAAATAGCATCGCATGGGCACCAAACGCGTAAAGGTGCCTGTACTCGACTGTGGCCCAGTGGTGGTGCTGAATCAGGTGTGCAGTCTTTCAGCGTTAGCATCATATCCCGGACCCATCACATCTTCAGAATGTTTAAACCTGCTTTTACTGGCTTTGGCTATATACCGTTCCAGTCCTTTCGCCAACATTAGCTCAATTGGCCCAAGAACTTTGGTTCAACATTTTCTACACTGTTCGTTATCATCTCCGGAATTTTGAAACCTGCTCTTTGGGCCAAGGGAATCTTAGCGAAAGCTGCTTTGAAAAGGCAATGGTGGTTTCAAAAAAACGGTCTTGAAAGAGATGGGATGAGGAGAACAAGACCAGGAACAAAATACATGCAGGTTGTCTGTTTTTTGGCCCTTAGCCCAACTGCATGGTCTGTGAACAGTATCATAGTCTGCTTCTGCCCTGGACTAAGCAACCCGCCTAGTAGGCATGCAGAAGGGTCTCGCAGAAGGGTCTCGCAAATGGGGACTCGCAGCTTCCCGCAGTCTCACCGCTCCGTTCGCGCAGCGAGAACGGCTTCTCACAGCTTCGCAGCTCCGGTCGTGTTTTTGACCTTCCCTCCCCGTGCAAAGCCTGGACCCCCATGTCACCAGGGCCCTTCCCAGAACATCCAATGACTTTTACCACACCTGGGAGTTATACACAATCCATTACTATCATATATTAGGGATCAATAATAGGGGAAAATGAGCCATTAGGACTCTCAGGGTTTGTACGAGTGGTCAACCAGTCGCTCACCTGGACCCACTGCTATGACCAAAGTGGAAAGACAGATTTGTCCACCCTTGGACCAGGAGATACACCACATGCCACAGAAAATCAGCGACCAAGAAAAAATAAAAGCATCCGCAGTCCAGGAACGGATGGGCGGCATGGTGTTTTTGGTTGCATGTACTTGTATACTCCTTGAGTCCTTGGTGAGGTCATTCAATATGTGCAACAATCTATCTTGCTTGTGCACCCGCGCACCCAGCCAGCCCCCCCCAAAATAACATGATAAACCCTCCTGCTCCACCTCTCCTGTTCCTAGCTTCCGCAACGAGACCATTGCACACTGGCCGCAAGGAGGCCATGAAGAAGCCCGACATGGCGCGGAGGAAGACCATGGGCACCATGCTGGGCACAAAGGACAAGACCATGATGGCGACAGCTTCCTGAGCTACTCACTGCGGAGCTCCGACTCAGTCAAACGTGGAAGCGGATAACACCCCCTTTTTTCGTAAAGGAATCGTCCTTTCGGGACCATGGCATCGCATCGTAACGCATGGAACGTGAATCACGTACTCAAAACGGGAGGTAACCCGGAGTGCCGTAATGGGCGCCGGGGGCCGCCGATTTGTTTGAGGTGTGAGCATTGATTGGCCACCAAGCCCAAAGTGGCGTTGGAGGCTTTTAAATATGTTACCTTTGCTATCCACGAACCCAAACAAATCGCACAAACATAGTTGAACATAACAGGGGATTGAAACGAGCAAATACAAATCACATCAAACTCACCCGTTCCGCTACCCTGGTTCTCCAGACCGCTCGGCGAGTGGGGTGGATCTACGTCTGGTGGAGCTACGTCTCAACACGTCGAAAAAGCCACGCGATTGGTGCGATGTGTCCAGTCAAGTCGCTTTTTGGTGAAATATATGTCAAAACGGGTGTGTTTGGATGCGCATCCCAGAAGTTGCCACCAGCTCAGACTTCCAACAGTTTCTGGTCTTCTCCTTCAGTTAGACCCTCGGTTCCTGGCAACTTTGACCCTAAAAAAATCCGGCGATAATCATATTCCTTGGAAACGTTGGAATGGATGACACCAACGTCAGGCATCCCAAGCTTCTCCAAGGCATCCCAACGTCAGGATGGACCGTCTCTGAAGCAAGCCTCGATCAGCCTGAAGCAAGCGGCGCAATGCGCTTGTCTCAAGTTTCGTGGTGTTGGACCCGGTTTCAGACCATAGCCATCCACCCAATTCATGTGTAACAAGTGTACTCACAAAGGCACACATGCTATAGACCTAGGAGACTCATCTGTCCTCTTTGCCAGGTCTTTGTGTCATTATAGGCTTGACAAATGGCCGGACTGCTCTGCAACTTGCTTGCTTGCTTGCTTTCTTGCATGCTTCAACAGAACGGAGCAGAACTTGAGAACAGCGAGTCTCCCCAGCTTGACAAGCACAGCTTTCGCAAGCCCAAGAACAGTATGCTGCTGATGGTAATTACTCTGCTTCATGTAGGCACCAAGTACAGCGAACTGCCTTGGGTGATAAACCATCGTTCATCATCAAACTCGTCCTAAACCACTCAACCGCTGGTCCCCACACTCGATCCTCAGACTTCTGTCATCGAATCCAACTCAATGGTTGCTTTGTGCCGATGTCCCACCAACCTATTCCTATAGTTGCTGTGGTTCCTATGGATCCATATACCATCTGAGAGGGTGATGTCTTCGACACTTTGGCGATCTGCGCCCGGGTCGGGAGATTCTGAAAGTGGATCCAGTGGATCCCCAAAAATAGGAGTTGTTGGATCCTCTTTGACCTGTGGGGAGCCTGAAAAACAAAGCATGCTTGTACGTTGATGACATGCTTTCTTATTGGAACACGACCATTTCGGGCAAGTTCTCTACCAAAGCATCTAACTCTTCTGGATAAAAACAACAAAACAACCTACCCTAGGGACCCTACTCCCACTTGTATGTGGGATGGGTTACATGCTCGATCCCACCCATGTGCCACCCGCGGAAGGAAGAGGTCGTTCTCTCCAAGCCACGATGATGCCCCAGAAGGGCGCCGCGACGTTGGTCAGGAACATCTGCACGGAGGTGAGGATGGCCACATCTCCCAAGGTCAAACCAATATCCTTCTGCCTCGGTCGAAAGAGGAAGAGCGGTCGAAAGGTCTTCGTGAAGACAAAATGAGAAAGACATAAAAAAAGAAAACAAGCGAGCAAGAAAGCGAGACAGGTCTGAGGATAGTAAAATAAGGAACATAAAATAACAGGTGAAGCAAGGAGTGCTTACAAGAATTGGAGAGGGACACAGGAGAGGAACCGCATGGGGAGAGAAAAAGAAGGAGAGAGAGAGAGAGAGTGAGAGAAAGTCTGACATAGACCTGAGAGTCTGACATCTGGCATGTCTTACCTTTAGACCTGGAGATTCTGGAGGATAACAATATTATACGTAATAATATGTAATATAACCTTATATGACACCTATTTTTGTGGTTTGTCAGTTTTACCTCATTTGAAAAGAACAGTTCAAACGTTTCCGAGGGCCCTTGCGGGACATTCTCGAGAATGGCCAGTACTTGGTATGCTGACGGTATCCTGTAGGTATCCCGTGAATCGCCGCTCCAGCAACCTGCGGGGGTTGGGTATCCTCATTGATTCATCATCAAAGCAATGCCCAACTCCTGAAACTCCCAATCTCATCGGGGCTCCGCCCCCGCGCACGTGCTGACGTACAATTTCATGTGCACCCAAACCTGCAAACCACCAAAACCTAAGGGGTCCAAGTCTTTGCCTTTGACCATGCTGCGAAGGTTTGATCAACTCTATATATTCTATATATCGTTCAGCAAGCTCAAAACTGACAGTCGACAATCAAGTTTCTGGGTCAACTCCCCGGCAATGGTCGGTCCGAAGAGGCAAGACTTGCGACGACTTTTTCATCATTGGACCCGCCAACGATCCGACCCTATAAAAACCAGCGGGTGTATCTATTATTTTATATATTACTATACTCATTAGAATCAAGATGAATCAAGCCTAATAGGCATGTAATATAATATGTGAATTGTAAGTTCATTGACCTGCAAATCCGTGCTACAAGCTGGTTGCTTTGTCTTACGGTAGGGGATTCTCCGGCAAGAAAAAGAGAGCAGCTCTCTCAGAACCAATTCGGCCCAGTGGCAATGCATACAAGCATCCCGGAATCAGCTGGGTATCTATACCTTCGACCTCCGGTCCAGCGTTCCAAGGTGGTGTGAAAGACGTCTGAACTAGCACGTCTGAAGAAATGGCCATGAACAACTTAATAATATACTTGACGCAGCAAAGCAAACAAATACTTTGGACTTTGAAACACAAACACTTTGGACTTTGACATGTCGCAATGTTCACCAGCAAAAGGCAAACCAAGGCCACACGTGGCGGTGTCTTCTCCTCCGAACTCTTCTCCTCGATTCGATGTTCGCCTGGACAGGGTCAAATCGAATCGAACCAGAAAAATGGGCGACACATGGTGACACAACGCAACGACGCAAACAAATACGCCCGAGAAGATTTCAGGATTCCATGTTAATCTTCCCGGGTGTATATATACATATTATGCCACACAGATACATACAGTATTATAGGCCCAATAAGTCTTTGTCTACTTCCCCTTCTTCCACGGGAACTGGGAGGTCTCCCCTCCCCTGCTTTAATACACCCATAACGGTTGCCCGATGGTTCAACGGAACTGACCCTCCAAACAACGTACAGTGGGCCAGTCGGAATGACCTCGCCTGCTTCGGACGAGATCTCCGCCGGAGCCACGGCAGTGAGTTCTGGACAACTCTTCGACGCCATTGAAATCGCAACGCGGAGGTCGGTCGGTCGGTCTCGTTGCGGTTCGTTGGAGGTACGTTTGACCTGTTGATGTTTGGGCCAAAGGAATGAATATGATTGAGCAAATGGTCCCGAGAAATGCTGAGAAGATGCCGTCATTAAAAAAACACATTGGTTTGATGACATCTTCTGTGAAATGTCATGTGAATCACCTCGTGAATCAGCTCACTCCTTCCAGAAAGGATCCGCTTTCCGCGAACCGCTGCGTTTCTGACACCTGGAAGTCAAATCTCCGCTGCTGCCGTGCATAGCAGCCACGGATGTCCAGCGCGCCAGCTGGAGCCTCTGAGGAACGCAAAACAAACTCAAAAAATGTAGTTGATGAACACCAGGATCATCCAATGGATGTCCAATAGGCTGTCCAAGATCTTCAAATCCTCGTCTCCGGCTCCGTTGTCCTCGGTGTTGTGTCTGGTTCCCCCCCAAACCGCCTCGGGGTCTTCGGAGGGTCGGCCATTCTCTTCCAGCCAGGCCTGACCTGAGCCAAGCAGTTGAATGTGCAAACCGCTTTTTTTCCACAAAGCTCCATGCAAAACAGCCCAACCAAACCCAGCAGCTTTCCAAACTGACCATGATTGATTAAAAACCACCCAATTGAAGGCCATGGTCGAAGGCCAAGGTCCCACGTGCGTTTTTGTTTAAACAAACAATGCAAACACCCCGGATGGAATGCCTTGCGCTTCCTTGTCTCAAAATTTTGACACCGATCCTCTTCCGTGAGTGTTTTCCTTGGTCCCCCCGCCTTTTTCATAGAGCATCTTGAACTGGCAGTTTTTTTTTGTGTGTGCCACGTCGGACTGTGCAGGATTCTAAACCAAATGTTAAGTGATTTAATAACATCATTGTATGTATATCAACCAGAACATAACGGCTTGCATTGGTGGGGAACACCATGCTGTGAAACAAAAAGGTTTTCTGCTGTGTTCTTATTTCAGTGTGAGTCACATGCATTCAGAATTCCGGTGAATGTGGGGAGCCATTTTATAGATTTGGAATGGTCTGATTGACCATCTGGTGTATATAATTTGAACAGTCTGACAGTCTGACTCAAGCAGGATTTACATAACATGACTCCACCCCACCCCACTTACGATAGTGGTTTGAGACTATGTTCATCTGTTTCCCTTCGTTCTAAGACACTACATTACTATATTTGAGAAAGCCGGCAGTAAACCGTTCAACGCATGAGCGAAGAAATTCAACTTACAAGTAGTATAGATCTTCACGAGGCTGCACAAAATTGGTACAGGTTCTTGCAACATGACCAACAACAATCAAAAACACATAGAATCTCTATAAAATCAAGAATTGACCCCCCCCATCAGGAGGACCCGTGAAACGCTTTATATGGGTAGGGTGCACCCCCTCATTTCATAGGAGAATCCTACACGGGGATGATTCAGATCATGTTGTCCAAATCTGTTTCATTCACGTCATATTTGCTTCACGTGCACATGCCACCCTTCAGCCTGATCAGGTCTCATCTCAGCTGCCTCAGCCATGGTGACGAAATCCAAGGCGTATGGGCGAACACTGAAGAACACTACACGAGTGTCGAGGGGCTGGGGAAAGGTGACTCCTGCCAAAGTCCAATGTCGAACTCGAGCCATGGCCAAAGGTTCAGGTTTTGAGACCCGTTCCATTTAAAGGAATGGCCATGTTGGACCATGTTCCTCTCTCGGCTTCGTAGCTTCGCATCAAGACTCGACTAGACGTGGCCCAAAGATGGCCATTTGGAAGCTGAAATACCCGTCTCAGCCCCTATGAAAGAAGGAAAGCAACCATCTTCTCCAAGAACAACATGTAGAAGTGTCTTGCTCTCCGGATCAAGTTCCGGAAATCATCGGACATCATTTACTAGATTCTGCCCCTCTCTAACCTCTGTCTGTAACTGAAGCATGTCAGCCCATCGCCAGGGCTGATCGACCAGGTGCCCAAACAGAATAAGAGCCTCGTCGCACCGGCGTGAGACGGCAAAGCCTAAGGAAGCGAGACAGTCTTTCGGAAGCGACGAACAGTTTGTGTGTCAAAATACCGTTGAGGTCTGCTATCCACATGTTCCGTGGTAGCAGAGCGTGGAGCTTCGGAAGATGAGTACTAGCATGTACTAGCCCTACGGACCGGCAGTCACCATCACCTACACGGCTTGGGAGTCACAGGACACGACACGGCGAAAAGGTGCATTTCTCGGCGAATGATGTGGAAAAGATGTGAAGAGACGGAAGAGACTCAATTAACCTAGCAAACTCACATGAAGCAGTAGATCTTCTCCTAGCAGCCCCAATTAGGATTAGGAGATTCACCCGTTCTGCATGGGAAGTTGGGCCACAAAACCTCAACAGTTCTTGCAATTTTACTAGCAGCTGTTCTTTTGGTCAGCAGTTCTGGCCAAAGTTCATACAGCTTAAGACCCTGGATTGACTTTGGTTCAATACCAGTTTCTCGCACCAAGTTCTTTGAGCTGCAACAAGTTCCTTCACACAAGTTCCGCACGAGACAGTGACGTTGGATAGGGTTTCTGTGGTTCATCATATTAGATCATATTCATCATAGTCTAGTAGTTCACCAGTTTCTATTGGCCAATTTGATGATGAAAAAACACCTGCATTGGTGACATAAATTTAACTTTTGCAGGCCTTTCCCTTTCGCTCTTCATGTTTCTCCAAAACTTTGCCGGACATGTCATCTGCATGTAAAACAGCACTTCGGCCAATAGGAATCACTTGAAAGACATCCTGATCTCATCGAAGCCCAAGGATTTCGCTCATTTCTGTCCATCGATTTAGCCCCATCTCTAGCATCTGTGGGCCCACCTCAGGGTGGAGCCGCCTCACCGCCGTTCGCTTCCCCCTCACTCCACGGAACGGTTCGCCCGCGGGGATGATCACCGGCTCACCCTCGACGAACCTCGGGGATCCGCGGTGGATGGACACAGAGAAAGGCGTTAGGATGGACACGGTGGGTAGAGAGACTTGCGAAAGGATAGGAGCTTAATTGAATCAACATAAGTGAACAGATTCTTATTCTAGATTCTACATCTTATATATATAATTATGTAGTTATATAATTTACTTTCATATATACATTAATTAACCTTCAGTGACTAGTATGCCAAGCTGCTTTGGCAGTTCCACCACTGCATGCCAAGGGTGTGCTGGGAAGTACCAGTCAGTGTCCTCGGAGTTGCTCCAGGAATCAGATATATGAACTCCGTGTCCTCTCGGTGAAATGTGGTTAAGTCTATGAGGAAGCCGAATTCTACGCCAATCATTGACTTTGTGTTTCTATCTGAGGTGTGCCACTCTAACCTATCTCATGATTCCCATGTCCATCTCGATCTTCAGAGACGGGTGTGATTTGGCACTCAAACATTAATCCATCGTGGTCAGGAATGATTATGCAATGCTGCATTGGTCTGCCTTTGCCAAGTTCATCCCTGAATCTCCCAATTGAAACACGGCTCATCCCAAACTATTTGTCTTCCAAGACAATGTTTGGTGTCTTCTTTAAAATGGCGGTCAACAACTCATGTTCCCTTGAATCATACCCGTTCGTGCGAAAAAGAAAAAAACTCCAGACTCTCATCAGCACTCCAAACTGTTTAGAAAAGCCAAGTAGCTAACATGGCGCTGAGGATGCGAAATCCTTGGGCCGTGCTTTGAGCACAGGTAGAGGTAGATGGGGGCATGTCACTCAGCATAGTGCAATAGGCAAACCTTGGTCCTTAAGTATGGACGTTAGGGCAAACCTTGGTCCTTGGTCCTAGCAGTGAAATCTAGTGATTCTGCAGATCTGAGATTGGTGAAGGTCTCAGATTGGCATCTTGACATAAATACCAGGAAGCAATTTAGCAGCAAGAATTGAAATCCGAATCAGAGCAAACTTTGAAGCGTGTTTGAACGGCTGAAATCCTCGTTTAGGTTGAAAGCTTGGGGAAGGGACAATTGTGCCTCCATCCGACCCGCAATGTCTTTTTCAAGAGAAACAAGACCGGTGAATGGCCGGTGAATATAATTCCATCCAGTATCTGCTCATTGGTTGGTTGTTACGATTGTGTAATCACTGCAAGTATCCTAGTATGTGCATGTGCATATGAGATTGAAAAAAAGAGAGAGAGAGAGAGAGAGAAACAAAAACAACAAAGATGAAAACAAACAGTAGTATAATTGCATGACTTGAGATATGGGCAGTGGTGATTTCTCTTCGTGCCTGAGCCCCGCACGACGATGTGCATTGGGGATGTCGCCCCTGAGAAGCTCTCCGGACAGTTAATATGTAATAAAGATCTACCAAATAGACACGACCCGGGTAATAGGTAAACACAAAAAAACACGGTACTGTCTGCTGGTCATGCAGCAACATTTCAAGCTCCAAGCATCTGAGCTCAGCATCAGCATAGACTGAGTTTCGGACATCAGAATTGCCCACCTCGAGATGGCACCGACTCCTCTACTGCTGTTCATAGAACGTCCGGAGCAACACGCTCCGGACGAATGTGGTCCAGTTCCATGGAGTTGGGGTCTGGTCTTGCGAGTGGATCCGTCCCCTGGTGAGTGGATGTGATGTTCTGGGCATCGGCACTCCCCCTGTGAGATCAGTTCTGCGCAGTTGAAGCGCAGTTCTGTTCTCAGTCAGTCGCTGCTGCTGTTGCTGCTCTTCAACATCTTCTGCTATGTGCATACTAATATTTAAACAATGCACATAAAACATCATTAAAAAAGCAAATAGGTATATACTATGGCATCACGGGTTCTACTTGGTTGTGTATCATATATCGGTAGTAGGTTTAACCCTGCTTGGTGCCCAACCCAGGAGGTGTCTGAAGGTACAAATACGTCGACACTTTCGCTTGATTCCTCAGTGCAAACGCGGAAACCGTCTGGCGGAGCAGCGGGAACGTCTGGCGGAGGAAATACTCTGATTGTCTGTCTGACTGTCTTAATTGTCTGAACTGTCCTTCCACCCAAAAGGCCCAAAGGGCTTTTGGTATATGTTCCCTTTTTGTTGTCCAATGTGTCTAAATGTGTCTATAGCGATGTAGTCTTTGACTATAGTCTTTGACTGCATTTGTCTGCTGCACCCTTGTGCAAGTGTTTCTGGAAGATCGTGGCCGGCTTGGTGCTCGGCCGAATCTCTGGAAAGACCTGTGGAGAGATACGATGTGGTAGCACCTGCGAGCACATCGCTCGCATCCTGCGTGCCCTGTGGACCTTCGCTCCGGAAATGACACTCACCATCGCATTATACCAAACACGCCATGTATGGAATATATGACCACATTGACCCCTGAAACCACCCCAATGTAGGTAAATATTCCATACATGGAGTGTCTGGGATATGTATCATTATGTATTGATATGTTTTGCCGATGGCTCAAATGGACTCAATGTCAAGGGCATCTGTACGGCTGTGGTGCGAAGTCAGTCACTTGTGCACAGTATGAATGGATAATGATATAGTCCCATTCCATGCGCAACGGGCTTTCAGAAGCTGTTTGAAAGGACTGCAGTGCCAAGGTTTGAAGTGTAGCTCTATCATCTGGCACTTGGTTTCTGGAGCGGTGATGACTGCACATTGGCCGGTGAGGATTTCAAATCTCACCTGAAAATGGGTAAGAATCCGAAGAAGTGTCTTCCTTTTAGATTGGTGCAGAAAGGAAAGGTCTGAATTTCTTGTTCCGCCAAAACCGTTCATTGCTGATAATCCTTCAGTTGCAGGAAAAAAAAGTATCGAATTCTGGCAGGAAGCATGCCAAGCTGGTCTTAGACGACTCCATGACTACATCTATGCTTCATGGTGTTTGCAAACTCATCCTACATCTCCAAGAAAGACGTGCTACATCGCCCAAATGGGCCTAGAAGGGCTGCAAGCCGGATCTCCAGCCTGATTGGGATCCCACTGCCAGCAATTGTCCTGATGATGTGACCAAAGACTTTCAAACGCTTTCGAGCAGGCACTTGGCTCTTCTTCACTGAGCTGAAAAGCTTTACCAACTTCTCATGCTATTTCGGAGCGTAGTCTCACAGCCAAACTCCTTGTGAAGTAACCCTTTAACAGTTCCTCTAACAGCTTGCAGCATCATCGGAATCTATGCCACATAGAGAAGTCTGAAGATATCTGAAGAAGAACTGGTTGGTGAGTTTTCAACCATCCCCAAAACTACAACTGGGGATGTACAAAATCAGGAGAGCCAAAATCAAACATCTTGCCAAAACCACCAGATAGAAAAGAATTTGGGCACTTCCGAAACGACTTTTTCGCCACAGGTCTCAGATGGTCTCAACGGAGCGTCACAGGAGTTGAACAACATAAACATATTCTTTCGGCTTAACATGAAAGCCTGTACAGACTCCAACCAGTTCCAATTCAATTTCCAAACACGGTGAAACAAGCCCGTTCTGATCATGCCAACCCGAGAATGCGCTGGCGCGCGCGCTCGAAGGCGCCCACTTCGCCCCGTCCTGGTCGAAGGCGCCCACTTCACCCCGTTCTTCCAAATCACCGCCACCCACCTCCACGGCATCGTGGAGCTTCCAGGACTCCTCCACCGGTCGGGACGTCGGAGCACGTCCGAGTTCCGTCGCGACGCATCAAGAGTTACCCACTTTCTCCGTGCCTCTTACAGTAATGGTCTTCATCTAATGAATGCTTTCTACATCTTCTTGGCAGATCCATGGGAGCCCACCTTCAACCAGAAAGAATCGTAGATGCCATGATGCCCTGGCCTAAAGACCTTGTTCCAAATACCAAACAGGGGGTGCCATCCATATTTCTTGGATTTTCGATGGAGGGAGCGCTAGCGGAGAAACGTCACTCTGTGATCATGAATGGGGGAAGCAGCCACCCCAAGTCCAAGATCTCATCTCACCACGACAAAACATAGCTGCACCAACCTCCCTGGAAGATTATATAACAATATATAATATGCAACCTGGAACCTGAAAACCAGAAATCGGTTGTAGACCAAAGTGCTCTTCCAAGCTCCATGCCAGCTTCCCACGTGCACGTCTCTAACCCACGGACGTTTTTTCACAGCGGCCCATCGGTTTCGGTGGGCCTCACCCGGATCGAAGCGAATCTCGAAAGGGTTGATGACATCCTCAGCAAATCGCTGCCCTTCGAATCTATATCCTCCTGGACCCGCTGCGAGAGAAAGGTCGCTGCGCGGTGGAAGCATCCAAATGGCCCCCCGCAAGAAGAAAAGATCCCTGGACCTTGGGGGAAAGCAACAAAAAGAAACACATATCATATGCTCTCCAACCCCAAAAAAAGCATTTCCGTGTCCAGATTTTGCCAAAGCAATATCAGTTTGACAGCACAGTGAAAGCCCAAGGGACCGAAACCATTGTGACACCGCAGGTCCCTTTCATTTTTAGGACCGGATCCTGCGAATCAGCTTGAGCCAGTCGCAGTCCACGGTCGCTCACCCTTCAGCTCTATGGAACATCCAGTGCAAAAAAGGTCCAGAGTACCCTGAGTACCCAACCTGGATCTTCTGGAAACTATCTGTGGATTGAGATGGAAAAGAACTCTGGGCCATCATGGGCCATCTATCCTCATCTACTCTGAGGCTGGGCCCCCAGGCTCAGGTGAACCCCCCTCCCATCCCATCTGCTTCGGGTGATCCTGGTCTCCGCACCCAGCCAAAGGCGCGAGCTGCCTGCCTTGCGGTTTTCCAAGGCACATATCTATCCAAGGATCCACATCTCTTACGGTTCTCCACATCTCTTTCCACGGTTTTGGAACCCCTGGCTACATCAAAGTGCCGCCTGTCTCACCTTCTCAGGTATGAGGATCATTGAGGATCCATAGGGAGCCCTTAGAGATCCCAACATCTAAGGATTTGAGATCCTGAACCCCTAGGGTCCGACCCGTCGCGTTTGGGCAGAAGCACCGGAGTGCAAGATATCTGATGTCACTTCCAGCCCGTATCAGTCAATTCCTCTGTCAACCATGTCGGATGCGACCTATATATATATATATCTACCCAAACACTCCATGTATGGCATATTATGTTTACATACATTTTCTTTAGACTGTCTGCACCTCATTGCCCAAACAGGAGATGCTTTTGGAACAAACAACTCCAAATTGAGTGAATTGGGTGGAAATGAAGAAAAGGTCCCAAGACAGGGTGTTTTGTTCAGGTCGCCCTGAACAGTGGAAAAAAACAAAGTCAGGCAGACGTTGTTTTTTTTTTAGACTTATCAGGACGAACCGAACGGATGACGTTACATTAGTAACAAGCCGCCTGTAAGGAATGCAACAAAAAACACTAACAACAAAATTCCTCCGGAAAATCGATCCAATTTCCAGATTCTTGCCGCACTTGCCCTGCGAAATGTCATCCCCTGATACTCCCTCTGCCTGGTTTTCCCGCCAGAATCCATTTTCGGTTTCAGACTCCAAAGCATCGAACTCGAAGGCTTGCATGTTATCCCTTGTTCTTGCTGCATGTGGCCCAATGAGCTGGTGGTTGACTGCCAACACTGGCAAGATCCGCTGCCGGGCATTCTGAAACCTGTGTGGCTTCAGTTATTGGGTGAAGCTCTTTCAGTCACCACCACACTTCAGAACTTCACCAACCTGAACTCTCGCACCAGCAGCAGCACCAGCACCAGCAAATCTTCCTGCTCGCCCAGCGACATGGGAGGGCACTGCTCCGGCCACCCGGAGCCCGGCTTCTGCGCCGGGCGCTCCGCAGGCACCTGGGTGGGGGCGCGTTTGGAGAAGTGAGACCACTGGTCCTGCTCATCTAAAGGACATCTTGGGGTTGTGCCATCTACTCTGAAACCACTGTGAGATGTCTTACCCAAACGCTCCACTGGTCGCCTAAAGTCGACTTTAGTGCCTCTTTCAAGCGGAGGAAGGAGATCCCAAACCCTCCAGAGAATTCGAGCTGGAGTCCTCTCACACATGGAGGGTCCAGGGCCGAGTCTGGGTAAAAATGTATAAATACAGATTTGGCAAACATGGGATCTTTGTGTATCTTTCTTGGACATCTTTGGTGTGAGCATGGCCGGAATGCTGCATCAGCGATCATAGAACCAAAATGGCACACATCGTCACACTTCCAAATTAGGCATGGCCTCTCCAGTGTGTCACACTCCACGCCGCTCCGATCCGCATCCTCTTTCACATGCGGTCTCCCAGGTCTCACTCTTGAAAACACCCGCGGGGTGTGGCTCCTCACCGAGTCTCCCAGCGGGGTGTGGCAACTCCGAGTGGAAACGGAAGTAGCGCAAGCTGGCTCCACGCGCCACCCGCGCGGAGCGGGATACCCGCTCGCGTTCCCGCTGGCGACAGGCCTTGCCACATGAAGAAACACACATGTGACAACCACCAGATTACTGACAAGAAAACATGTTGAAGGTTTGAACACATCATATGCGAAGACAGAACATCGTGGTTAACATCAACCTCCATGAGTGGTCCTACTGATTCAGTGGTATTCGAAAAAAACTTAAGTTGTGATGTTGTGGAAGGTGGCAAACTGAATATGTGTGAAACTCTTCCACAGAAAGGCCTTCGCGGAAATTGAGGCCATGTTCCAGGCCTGATGAGAGATATTCACCACAATTCTTCACATCTCAAACTCTCAAACAAGTCCTTTGTGAATTCAACGGATTGAACAAAAATCTTCCCGGTTTTCGAAGTGATGATGAAATCACACTCCGGGATCGGGCAGGCCGCCTGGTTCATCACGCCCAAGTACGTGATGGTACCAATGGCCATCGAAGAATAGCGATCCACCTGGAAGAACGATTCGAAGCCCAAGGAAGAACGTGAGAATGAACATATAAATGGATGGACAGGATCCACCCAACGAGGCTCAGCGAGGATCCGAACTTCAAACCTTCAGTAGGTCGTTTCTGTTTGTTTGTTTTACGGAAAAAAACAAAGAAAGGAACATGCCAGGAGGGCAAGGGGATCACTTGCGACACCAAAACTGGATCACTTGCGACACCAAAACCTACCCAAGACAGACTCGCTTGCGACACCAAAACTGGATCACTTGCGACACCAAACCTACTACTACTACTACCACTACTACTACTACCACCACCATTACTACTACCACTACCACCACCACCACCACGACTACTACGACTACTACGCACAGGCATACGGGCACACGGGCATACGGGCGCACGGGCATGCACGGGCACACACGGGCACACACACGGGCACACGCACGGGCATACGGGCACGCACGGGAGAACGGACACACACTGGGGAATGAGTCTTGAAGTTGGAACGTTAGGGCGCTGACAGAGCCCAGAACCTCCTAAGTGTGTGTGATGGAAAAATTCCAAAAAACAAGCGATGTCGGCGACACGAACGATCAATGCATTAGCCCTTTACGGCAAGTTAAAAATGTGATGCAGGTACGTCAGCAAGCGTCCTTGCTGATATCAGCACAACCTGAAGAGCCTCTTTGTTAGATGCCCTCTCTAGGTGTGGGGCATCCCCCTGCTCTCCAAAGTCGATAAAGGTCAAAGAAGCTCGGCAACCGCGTGTAAGAGCGGGCTACACACACACACACACGAGGCCCTCCCCGTGGAGGGCTCAGACTTCATGAGTAGGCCTTAACAGTGACTGTAGTGTCCCGAAACTCGTTTTGCGCCGAATAAGTTCCAAGCCAATGGGTCTGATCAGCATCATTAGTTTCCCCTATTCTCGAAAGTCGATAAAAGTCAAAGAAGCTCGTCAACCGCGTGTAAGAGCGGGCTACACACACAAGGCCCCTTTGGTGGAGGGCTCAGACTACATGAGTAGGCCTATGCACAACAGTGACTGTAGTGTCCCGAAATCGTTTTGCGCCGAATAAGTTCCACGCCAATGGGTCTGATTCGCATCCTTGAACTGAATGACTTCATTCGATCAGCATGACATCCAAATGCCAGTGTGTGTCACGACGTTGTGGCATCTTGACTGAAAACCGGTGTGCCTCATAAAGTAACGACACAGCAAAACTACAAAACCGTCAAAAGTTGGACGCCCTCGCTGTTAGGTTGGAGGCCGTCGAAGGCAAGTGAAGGGGTCATCGTTAGCAGGTTGGTGACAAAGAATGAAACTGCAAAACTGCAAAACCGTTGAAGTTGGAGGCCCTCGCTCTTAGGTTGGAGGCCGTCGAAGGCAGGTTAAGAGGCCATCGCTAGTAGGTCGGTGACAAGAAACGAAACTGCAAAACTGCAAAACCATCGGGTTAAGTTGGGGGCCCTTGCTCTTAGGTTGGAGGCCGTCGAAGGCAAGTTAAGGGGCCATCGCTAGTAGGTTGGTGACAAGAAACGGAACTGCAAATCTGCGAAACTGTCAAAATTGGAGGCCCTCGCTCTTAGGTTGGAGGCCGTCGAAGGCAGGTTAAGGGGCCATCGCTAGTAGGTTAGGGACAAGAATCTGCAAAGATGAGTAGAAAACTGTGATCCCCTGCTCTCGAAAGCTGCTGGTGGACTTGCAGAGATGGAGCGAATCAGTTTGACCGGCAATCGAGTTCTCACCTCCCACGAGCAACATCAAAATGAAGTTGCCTATATGGTATACCGTGCAGCCACCAATCAATTGGCCAATCTTGCTCTTGAAAAGAACCAGGTAAGATGGCACGTTCGGCCAAAGAGCCACATCCTTGAACATCATATATATGATTTCAGTCATTTGAACTTGAGATACACCAGCAACTACCTCGATGAGGACTTTGTCCGAAGGACAAAACGTGTTGCGAGCGTTGTTCACCCCAGGTATATGTTGCAAGGAACACATTGCTTCGGTACTGCTTAGCAGCCACCTTGCGATGGAGCGACCAGGTCATCTAGACCGAAAAAAAATTCTGGCGGCCATGAACGGACAAAACCAACACGGACACAGGTGCCCCACTGAGATTCCCAGGGTAAAGGTTTCCATGTGTGCGCGTGTGTCTATATACATACAATATAAATATAAAGAGGCTCAAGCTAGCGGTTTGCTTTCATCCGCTGAAGTATTCCCATCGCCCGGAAAAGGTTTTGGAAAAGAAACGTGTCAGATTCTGTCAGATTCGTGTGAAATAGCGTGCAAGCGTGACTTGCAAGTGTGATGGATCAGTTTTTACTACGCAGGTGCAGCGATTTGTGAGGTCTGACAAAGCGTGCACACTTGACACAGATGTTTGTGGAGAAGCTGGTGACTTGACACCGGCGTCTGTGGCGACACCGGCGTCTGTGTTGACACCGGCGTCACCAATGTGCTGGTTAGGCCTTCCTGGAAAGAAGCTCGTCAACGGCGTATAAGAGTGGGTTACACACACAACACACAAGGCCCTCCCCGTGGAGGGCTTAGACTTCATGAGTAGGCCTATGCACAACAGTGACTTCTCTGACGGTAGTGTCCCGAAAATCGAACCGGTTTGTGCCGGGTCTGATAAGCATCCTTATAGATTGAAAAACCTCAGAACTGAGTGCCTTCATTCGATCAGCATGACATCCAATTGCCAGTGTGTGTCATGACGTTCTGACATCTTGACTGAAAACCGGTGTGCCTCATAAAGTAACGAAACAGCAAAACAACAAAACCGTGAAGTTGGAGGCCCTCGCTCTTAGGTTGGAGGCCGTCGAAGGCAAGTGAAGGGGCCATCGTTGGAGGCCCTTGCTCTTAGGTTGGAGGCCGTCGAAGGCAAGTTAAGGGGCCATCGCTAGTAGGTTGGTGGCAAGAAACGAACTGCAAAACCGTCAAATTGGCAGCCCTCGCTCTTAAGTTGGAGGCCGTCGAAGACAGGTTAAGGGGCCAACTCTAATAGGTTAGTGACAAGAAACTGCACGTATGAGTAAAAACGACGACCAGAGGTCCAAGAAGAAGGAGGCCAAGAAACCATGTTGAGGGGCCCAACTGAATCAACTCAAAAGGTTGGGACGGCGTAGTTTCCCAAAGGAGCTCAAATCAAATCGACTTCTACCGCTTTGCAACTGCGCTCGATGGCAGCTTCTGCCGCTTTGCAACTGCGCTTCATTGCAGCTAAGAACAGTCTGTCTGAAGACTGTGTTTTCCGCTTGTGAGCAACTATGCAACACCACATTGGTGTGCAAGATTCTGGAACCTCCAAAATGAGGACCAATGTCTGCTCGCGGGAAGGCCCGTGCCGACTATAGAGTCCCACGAAGGGTCTCGACGGTGTTGCCAATTCCGGCGTGCACCCTCTACACACTGGGGAACTTGAAGTTGGAACGTTAGGGTGATGACAAAGCCCAGAACCTCCTACGTGTGTGTCCTTGAAAACATTTGAAAACTTCAAAAACCAAGCAAAGTCGGCGACACGATCATCAATGCATTAGCCCTTTACGGCAAATTAAAAAGGTGATGCAGGTACGTCAGTAAGCGTCCTTGCTGATATCAGCACAACCTGAAGAGCCTCTTTGTTAGATGCCCTCTTTTCAGGTGTGGGGCATCCCCCTGCTCTCCAAAGTCTAAAGGTCAAAGAAGCTCGGCAACCACGTGTAAGAGCGGGCTACACACACACCGCCTCCAACCAGCTGAGATATTGCAGCAGGTTTCCAGCATCTGGAGACTCCTTAACCGTTAACAGCTGACTGGACCTAGTAGAAGCGCCTGAAAAATGGTAGTAGAAGCTGCGCTAGAAACTCTGGTAGAAGCTCAGTAGAAATGCCATAGAAGCACTAGTCGACTAGTAGAACCCCCATAGTAGAACGTCAGATGGAAGCCGTAGTAGAAAGTGCTGCTGCTACTACTACTACTACCACCACCACGACCACGACCACAACCACGACCACGACCACCACCACCACCACCAGACGACAACGACGACGACGACTACTACCACTCACAGGCACACGGGCGCACGGGCACACACGGACACGCGGGCACGCAGGGGCATACGGGCGCGTCACAAGTGAGCCAACAGCTCCGCGTCACAAGTGAGGCCGAAATCCGCGTCACAAGTGAGCCCCTTTCCTGCCAGGAGCCTTGAAAGGTCTTATCCCCTGATGCATCCCCTCATGCTGATCACTGATACGCCCAAACACCAAATCCAGAATCAAGTCTCCGACTGGGGTCTGACTCCGGAGCAAAGGCCAAGAAAGCCACCATCGAATGACCGGCTAGAACAACTATGTGTATTTATATATTGTAGTTAACATATATATAGTATAAAGTATATATGATTAATATATGATTATATATTATATATGTTATAATACATATTTATACATATTCATACATATTTATACTGTATACATCTGTAGTCTGCAAAGCCTAGCTACCACAATTGAAGTGAACGGGACAGCGGCAAATGACACAGTTGACCGTCCTGAAACGGGATTGTCAAACAAATATTGATCCCCAAAATGTGCTGGCCTCTGGAAAGTTGGGCGCACACCGCCGTGTTGGTTGGCGTGCCACAATCTGCTCCACTCCTGCACTGATCAAAAAGTGGAGACAAAGTTGACTCCAAATGGATTGTCTGCTTCACGCAAGATCACAGTATATCACAGTAGTGTTTTGTCCTTGCAAAGGTTTTCGGGAAAACAAATCACACCCTCCCAGTCCAAGATCTATGATTTGAGGTTTCCCACATGCTTCCTGTGACTTCTGAATGTTCGCTTGCGATGGATGCTTCTGCCCCACACGTTTTGACATTGACATTGACTTCGGCCGGCCTGGCATTCCGGAAACGGAAGCCACCAGCATGGCGCTGAAGATGATGAGACTTCGAGAAGAAGTTGCGAAGAATCCGCGGACTTTGGGTTTGAAGTACGTATACGTACATACAGTAGAATCAACCAAAGCCGCATTGTTTCTATAGAGTTCTGCTTGCTCCCTCTTCACCTGTTCAGAAAGTCACTCCATGAAACTCTTAGCTGCTAAGAGATCCCTTAAGCCTACGCCCACGCCTCCATCTTCTTCTATGGACTCATGGCGTGGGAGCCGCTAGGATTTGATTTACCAGCTATCCGGATTGGAATAGACCACTTAATGTGGCATCACTTGAGACGTGAATTTTGGGCAATGCAGTCTGAGTTCATGTGTAATTGCATGGCCTCCACATGTCATCAGTCCTGGTAAACACCCAGGACTGAAGCAGCCAAAGCAGGACATCCAAACACCATTTTGGGCAGCAGCATGTTGCTGCTTCTTCTTCTCAATCTACTACATCATTAACGAGGTTTTTTCACCACTTCAGCCGCTCCATGGGCCAGGGTCAAAATTCAGTGCGCTCACTAGGTCACTAGCCCCGTTTCACGAGTCCATCTGGTATGCACCTAAGATGTGGCTATATATATATGACAGCGCGGGCAACCCGGCCTGCTATTTCGCGACCAGCCGGCCGGCCGGCTGGCCAAATATCATCACATATCGTTGTTGGTTAATTCCGTGTATATATATGCAATACATATATATATATTATTAACAAATAACTCGCATCAACGGATTTTGACCCCCCCCCATGTAGCCGATGTCAGCATTTACCAGCAATGCCTCTGAATCCAATTCTAAACACAAATCACATGGTTCCTTCATCCTTCGTCCTGTGCATGGAGTTTTCAGCACACCATGGGTTAACATTCCCGACGTCAGAGGCCGCTGGGAAAGCCCTGCGACTGAGTGCCTCTACGAAGATGGCCCCATCTCATGGAGAAGGTGTCCAAGGTGCTGCTTCTGAAAAAACCGTGCACCGAGGTCAACCATTTGCAAAGCGAGACTCAAGTGAGTCTCGCCAACCGAATAAGTCTGTTAGGCCAAAAAACAAGTCAGTGTTTTTGTTGAGTTTGCTTTGCTTCAGGAGAGTAGGGAGAATAGACTGGGTCGACCTCGCTCTAGACCGCTTTGGAAGAGCTGCCTGAATTCAAGTGGAGTGACAATGACGACGGATGGCAAGGTCCCGAAGGCACAGTTCAACAGAAAGAGAAATTAGGAAGTGGTCACTCACAACATCTCACAACCAAACACTGCTGCTTTTGCCCAAATCCAGAACGGCAACAAAAAATAACGAAAGAATGGATCTGGCTGTCAACTCCTTTCACAATAGGATCAGCTATCCACGTATTTTGTCCAGTTGCCCTTACCTGAGTCGTCACTCAAGTGCATGTTACACAGCTGCTGTGCAAACCATTGCAGCTCTCACAGCCACTTTCTATCCCTCTACAAAGATTTGGGACAATGCAATGTGCATGTTCACAGACCATCAGTTGCCCACCCCAGAAATACCTCAATTGACAAACAAAGGTCATGTGTTTTTGTCGTTCCTCATCACATCTGGCATGCATTTGTTGATGCACAAATTGTCAAGCAGTGGCGTTGGGAGGCAATGGTCAAACCAGCTATCGATTGAGTTGGCACTCTCGCCCGGGTCCGGATCAGCGTTTTGGTAAATAAACAATATTTCATTGATGTCAAACTATATATAGAATCATTTAAACAAAACACATCGCAAACTTCATGGCACCAGCGACCCATGGAGAAGAACCTGATCTTTGGTGAGACCTACACAGGAGAAGGAAGTAGATCTCATCAACATCGCATCGCTGCACTCTTGCGAGAGGTCATCGTGGATGTTGTTAAATGATGTAGTAAACACCTCGTAGCACAGACGTGAATCAACAATGCTTTCGGAGGACTAAACTGAACATCTTTGCCACAAACATGCTTGACAAGTAGATTTCATCAAGATGCAGCAGGTCCTGTCTGCAATTGTTTGCCCTTGCCTCAGCCACACTTGGTGATCTGTCTTCAAGACTCAACAACCAGCAAACGCGAACACACACACACAATCGTCCAAATGAGGATTCATTTGCAACAACTGCGGCGCACTTCAGTTCGCAACAGGATAAGTATATAATCGAAACAGTTCAACATGATTCAAGCGATCTGAAGTTGAACTAGAAGTGGCTCTGTCTGAGTTGAACTAGAAGTCATAATTATAGTTTAAGTTCTCCCCACGATTGTTGGCAATTTCCTGGATCTGCAGCCCAAGTGCGGATCCCAAGACTTTATCCATCTTCACCGCTTCGGCGAACTGATCGCGGAAACACATCTCGCCCAATCTTTTAATCTGAGCATCATCAAAGTGCACTACCTGATGGCGTTGGAGGAAGGTTGGAGTGAGATAACACACGATCGAACAAAAATATGCAACTGTTCAAGAATGCTCAGATTCGGATTGAGGGAGTCTGGAAAGGATTTCACATGAGTGTGTCTGACACCATGGGGACACCATGGCACACCCAACCAATGGGCTTTTGATGGCTAGCCTGTCTGTTTTCCTTCTTCCAGAAGTCTTTGGGAGCTCTCCGTATTTTCAGTCATACCCACATCACTTCCGAGGTCTTCGCCTCTCAAGTGGGTTTTCGTAGCAAATCCCAGCACAAATCTGGCCCCTGCAGCGATCGAAAAGGCATCCCTAGGCCCTAGCATCTAGGTCCGATCACCCAAACAGTCCCGCGCCTTTTCATGCAGCTTCCGGTGGATCCGTTTATGCACATAACCTGTGAAGCCACAGAAAAATGGTTCTGAAAATACTGTCTGTTTGCTGTTTGCAGGTCAGCTTCAAGGATGCCTTCCTCTTCACCTCATGCATACATATATATATATATATATATCACTATATATTTATTTATGTTGTGTTTTGACATTGAAAGTGCGCAATCCAAAAGCAACTCTGCAATTAATTTTGGTGTTGGACTGCGGCGGGGCCATGTCAAGCACTTGTTGCCAACCTCAAAACGTTACATGTTTTGTCAACACTATTCCAATTCGTAGTAATTTTAGGTATGATCTCATTTAAATTCGGCTGCAACTCAGTATTGCAAGATCGCCTAGCACATCACTGTGTCTGTTGCAAACACCATCAGCCACAACAAAAAGTGCTCTGGGGAACTGCAAGGCCAGCGCAAGGGAAGCCACTTCCATCAATGTGCTTGATACAGGTTTGCACAGAACAAGCACATGCGTGCGGGGCTCTGACTGATTGGTTGGCCGCGTCTCAATCACTCCAATCACAACTCCTTCAATCACCTTTATCATCTCCTCCGAGTTAACTAAGCTGCCTTCCCATGGCCTTCCCGTCCGAGCTCATCGAAGAGCGGATGAGCCGTCTGTACCAAGCTAGCCAGCTGCAAGGTCCTAAGGTGCTCAGGCCCAGCAACCACTGCTTGGCTAACTACTGCATGGTCACTTGAACATAAACCTACCAGGCTGAACAAATACATTGGAGCCTCCTCCCCGGTGGGTTCACAACACTCTGAACCTGGGTGTTCAAAAACACACACAGCAACCCCCCACGGCTCGGAGCTGCAGCTGGTCCGACTCCCCGGGTCACCCGCTCCGGGCGGTTCTACAAGCCCCAAGCAGTGGACTTGACTGAGTAGGAGTGGGCCAAGAGCGATTTTTGCAGGTGGTTGGAAAGCAAACTTCAATGGGTGGTCTTTGTACAAAAAGGAGCAGAGCAAGTCAGCAAGAAGGCCAACGTTTTTGCAGTTTGAAGGCCAACCTGTGCAGCTTGAAGGCCGACTCATAGGTCTTTTAGCACACGCTCCTGCTTCTGATACCTTCTCCAGTATGTCTTCATATGGCTCATATATGTCTTCCCTTACCACTAGTGTTACCGTTTGCAGCTCCCCCAAAGGGTGGCCATTTTTTGTGGTATGTTTTCCGGGCAGCTTGGGGAATTTGTCCGGGAGTGTTTTGGACAGCAGAAGCGGCAGCAGAAGCGGCTAAGGACGAGGGAGCGAAAGGGAGGGAGAGAGGAGAGAGAGGGGGAGGAGGAGAGAGCTTCTTGGGTTTCGCCTGGTCCTTGCTTGCTTGGTGAGAGGAGTGAGACGGAAGGGTGACTCTGGAGTAAGGGGGGCTCAAGTGGAGTGGTTCCTTGCGGGCAGGGCTTCGCGTGCATGGGTCCTTCCTTCTCTAAATTCTGCCCGGGGGTGTCTCACAAAAAGTCTGCCGCATTGGAATGGCTATCCTCGTCTAAATGTTACCCTCGGGTGGCTCACGAAAGGTATGCTACAAACCCTAAGGGTCCTTCCTCCGCAAACCCTGGGGGGGGTTCAAAGTACCCACAGGAAAACAAAAAACCCAAATACAGCCAAATACATGTTCTTTCCACTAGAAGCCATCAAAAGGCGACCAACGGCAGAAGCAGCATAAGCAGGACAAGCAAAACCAAAGCAGGCAACATCAAAGGTAAAGGCAAAAGCAAACGTCAAAGGCAAAAGCAAGAGCGAAACACCAGTGGAGAAAAAAAGAAGCACACACACGCAAACCAAAATTGTCTGGGAAAAAAAACGTACACGAAAAGTCCGGTTTCCCCCAAATGGGCCATCAAGCATCATCTAAGAAGAGTGTGTGCAGTACATTAATGTATACATTTGTAAAAAAAAAAAAACTCTATATAAATGGGTATCAAGCATCTCAAATCCAAAGCCATCGGATCCATCATCTACCGTCCCTATCTTCGACCGCCCACCCATCCTTTCGTACGGCCCAAGCGACACTCGGTTCTGCCGCTGGATGTCACGGCAACCGCTGGTCGTCTGTGTCGCAAACGGGCCCGGTGGATGAAGCTGCCTGCATGGCAGAGCTCCATCCGCTCTGCAAAAGTGACACACGGTATCCCTGGATCTTCAAACGGCACAAATTTTTGCCGGAGGCATTTTTTAGTGGAAAGACGCCGTAATCAAAAAATAATGCCGTTTTATGGGTTGTACAAAATCCATGGACGGGGAAAGACGCCGTTTGGACGCCCAAAGACGCCGTTTGGACGCTTAAAGACGCCGTTTCTTTTTGCTTTCTGCCGGCGTGCGCCTCCTCACAACAAAAAACGCAGTCTTTGGAAAAAGACGCCGTAACGGCATTTTCTCCTGAAAAGGCAATTATTTGTGCCGTTTCGAAGATCCAGCGCTTACGGCATTCTGGACAGCAAAGCACTACTGTGATGGTTCTTTTTTAAGGCATTCTGGAAATTTGCCAACTACATCCAACTACTGTGAATGCCATTTCTATACCATTTGTTCACACCAAAAACGCAGTCCATCCTTATCGAGTGGGTCGGCAAAGCGATGCAAGCATCTGTGAAGTACTGTATCAGCCAATCAGGATCAACATTCGCAGCCATGGGTTCCAACAAAAAGATTCTGCACCACTGCACGACATGATCTCCACGGAATTGCAGGCTCTTAAACCAGATGGTGCAGGATGTGAACATGGAAAACACTTCTTCCCAGTCCCTAATTACTGTTGGCCAAAATGATCCAAAATGTAAATCACAGTGCCAACTTCTTGGGACATGGCTGTGCTGATGTCTTCCAGTCGCAGATTTTCCGGGTGACATGTGTTCTTTCAGGTGGTCTGAAGACGACATGCCCGTCTCTACACGCCACGATCGACACGCCAGGACCCACAAATGGACACCTCTCAACCTCCGGGACCCCAAGACATCGACACCCTTTACGCCAACTTGACGCACGTCGTCTCACATCTCGTCGGGTCGTCTCACACATGTGACGTCGTTTTCTCCTATGTCCGCCCCCACAGGCGGCACTCCAATGACTCGACGTCTAGAGGTCTCCGTGGCCACGGGGCCGAAGCGTCGAGCGACTTCGTGGCCGAAGCGGTCCCTCTGGGGTTCAGCTGCTCCACCCCTCTTCTGCCTCCACCTCTCAGTCTCTGCATCCTTCTCGTTCGTCTTCGAAGACCTCACAAACGGGCAAAAGTCACAGGGTGACACCATGCTGTTGGCATGTAACATGGGTGTGTATTTTGATCATTCTTAATAGGGGGACCCGCAAACAGTCAGTTTTGGTCTGTTTCCCTTCTTCCGGGGGGTTGAAGGTAGCGGGGGGCGTCGGTCTCCCTATACCCACATCGCTTCGGTCTCGAAAACCCTGCGCCGCTACTCACGCGTAGAATCTACGCGGCCTCCAGTCGAGGTGATCCGCCAATGAAATGACCTGCGGCGTGAGTAGCGGCTGAACTCGTTCAGTTCGCTTGTTGGTGGGGTCGAGTTGGCTGCGAGTTCTCGCTGCGGTGCTTCTTTTTCAGACATGGAAGATCCTGCCCTATCCTCTCGGTCGAATGGATCCTTACCGTTTTGGATGCCAAATCAATACAATCTTCCATGAGTTAAACGGGTAATGACGTGTGGGGGGTCTGAAAAACTGGTCAGGAAATGTGTGCGCCATCTCCTTTTTGTTTCATTTCGTGGTCACTCAGGCTGCAATCGTCACCTTTGTCTCATCTGCTGCCTTCTGTTCAGGCACTTCTGGAACAAGGCGAGTTTCCTCAAATCGCTTCAGCCGAGTCGTTTTGCCTGAAGAAGAGGCAACTTTCTGTGGCAACAGGGATGAACACCTTGGCGGGGTGCAAAACAGTTGGCCATCACCTAGGGTCACTCTCCAAACCCTAAACCGGCGACTTCCCCAAACTAAACCGGTGCCCAAACGCACCATTTGGGCACCGGTCCCTCCGAACAGCGAACCCAGACCGGCCCAAAGCCTCCATAACTTCGGGTCCAATCCCTCCAGAGGGGTCGGTGCGATGTTCCCTCTGACTCTGGGTGTTCTTTCTTTCCCCAACTTCACACAACTTCACACCCTAGAAGTCCAGAGACATCTATTTGGACCGACTGAAGTACAGCAAAATGTTTACCTGGACTCGGGTCACCTAGTCAGACCATTCTTTTTATAGTCTTTGACTCCCAGGGCACAAATTTCGACCTCCTCATGACTTCCCGTGGTGTGACTTGCCACTTCTTGCCACTCCGAGCGGCTCGGCTGTTCAACTTGCTCAACTCGTGGTCGGAGGAATCCTGGCAAATTTGATGGCTGAATACGAAAAAAATAGAAAAGAAACCATCACCAGGTTGGTGGGATTCCAACCAGGTTTTGTGGGATTCCAATCACCCGATGACGATCACCCGACTGACAAGGAACTGACCTGTTCCAAAGAAGCCTGGCTTGGTCACCAAAGACAGCACGAACCAGCTTGACTGTTTTTGGTGTCCACAAGCCTGCCAGTTTCATGAGTGGACTGGTCTTTATGGAAATGAAGCTTTGGAGAAGCCAAAAGCCATCAAGTGTTCAGTTGACCCCACAATTGCATGGAACCCTAACATCCGCGAGAAACACGACTATAGTCTGACAAGCACGGACAAACAACAAACAGCTTGATGATGTATTAATGACTATGAATCTTTTGAGAAACACAACCATGGACCATGACCAAACAAAACAGGCAAACACGATCATCAGATCCTGCTACTCTTTCCCAGGTTCAGGATTGGTTTTACCAGAGCCAAGCGACACTTCCGCTTGCGCGTTCGAAGTGTTCTTCCAATGGGTCCTGGCAAGTCCAGGCTAACCAGGCCCCTATTGACACAATGGCCTTGAATCACTTGCAATCTGATGGAAAACAGCTTGGGCGTTCCCTTCTCCAATCTGGACATTCAAACATCTCTACTGACTCGACTTGGGATCAACAACGCTAGGCCCCGTGCTCCATGGGTAATCCAGCACTAATGCTATCTGATGTTAGAGGTCCACCTATATGCTCCTGGTCAGTATAGAAGAACCAATCCACGAGAGAGAGAGAGAGAGAGAGAGATAACAAAGGTTCAGAAAGTGTTAAATCCACTCGAGACGGCTAAATGAAGGGCTCCGCCCCTGGCAGGATGGTCAAAGACTCATGTGTTCAGGAAGACCAACCCCATTCTATAACTCAAAGCCACTCTGATATAACACCGTAATCACATATCAAAACATCAGCGACCAATCTGCCTGGGGAGACTCAATCTTCTCCGTGTTCGGAAGAGAGGGTGGGCGTCCGACCAGGACAGTGTCACCGATAAAACCTACCAGGACAGGGGTCTCTTGTTCAATGGGAACACCCTCCCATACTATTCCAGGAACACGCATATCCTAAAAGCCCATGCCATTGGGGCGGGGTAGTCTCCCTATTCCCATATCGATCATATGCATTGCCCTCGATGCCTTGACAGAGCTCCAACTGCATTCGAAGATGCTTTCCATCTCCCAGTGCTCCCCTCGTCGCAATCTCTGCATCACCACTAAAAATATGAAGGTCACAACATCTCAAAATAAGTGGCTTGTTGTGCTAACTTAATTGACACATATTAAGCATATATATATATATACAATAATAATACTGTATATCATATATATATTATACACAAAACTTCAAAGCAATCCTTTGCCAATTCCTATGCTTTTTCCATAGAGCTTATATTGCAAACTTCCAATCTTCTAGCATGGGCCTGAACTCTTGGTCTCGTCGCCAATGTAAAAGTTCTCACAGTCTAGCCTGAACAGCTCGTGATGCTGTTTAGCTCGTTCAATCGAATGTGGGCTGTTGATGAATGAACAAATAAACTACCAGAATGGCTTCACACGTCTATATGAGGGGGCTTTCAAGTCGGCATTGATTTTCCACTGGATTCACCCTTACCCCACCTATACTGTACATTCATCTACTTGCCCTCTCCCAAACGGGTGCATGTACACCGAACGTGGTCCCCTTCTTCCAAAAAACTCCACCCGTCGACGGCATGTCACTTGGACCAAAAGCCGATGGCTTAAAACACACAGACACACACACACACACTAAATATAGGAGTTGCAAATCAACACAGCCATCAATAACCAGTACATCACACACTGACTGGTATAGCACGGCATATCTTACTTTACAGCTCTTTACTCTGAAAAACCCACCATTCTGAGGGGTCTTGAAACAAGCCCCACATGGGCATGTGCCACTGTTTCCAAGCCGAACTCAAACCTTCGTCTGGCATCTTGATCAAATCTTCACATGCTACACGTCCAGGTGACCATGACAGGGGCGAATCGCAAACATGTTGCTTCGCATGGATAACGCATGGATCTGCCCATCAACCCCATGGTATCCATCTGAGAATCCACAGGCGCCAAAATTTCCCAGAACATTTAGCGATACTCATGGCCAGTGGCGTGTGAGACTCTGGCGCTGAACTCCTTGCAGGAAAGCCATGGAAACGGGGAGGTCCCAAGCATTTTAAGCAAACACGACCGAACTTGCTGGGAATACGGAAAAGACCGGAAAAGTATATATATATATTATAGTCCGTTTACCTGAATTAGGATTGATCCAGGAAGAACAACGGAAAGGGTCCTGGTAGCCATTGGTCGCCTGTTCACCTCAGGATTGATACCTTGCAAAATAATGAATGAACTCCAGTACCTAGTAGCTTCTTGCTCCTAGTAGCGATGCCAGGAGCCCCTATTTCCTTTATTGCTCCTAGTAACGATGCCAGGAGCCCCTAGTATATACCCTGTACCTCCAAATCCTTTGTGAGCAGGTGTTTGGGAAAACACCTTCTGAGAAGGGGTTCAGGGTCAAAACCATCCTGAGAAGGGACTCGGTTGCTGAGTACGGCCTGAGGCTCAAATGGGTCATGGAAGTGATCAATGAGCCAATTGTGATTTGCAATATCTTTGGATTCCATGGTTGGAGATGATAGTCACAGTTGTGATCACCAAGAATCCAGTAGTGTTCCGCTTGATTTGCATCACTTGACAACAGCACAGCTTGGCCTCATGGTGGATCAGGTAAGGGACTGGGGATTTTCCACCAAATTCCATCAAGCAGTCACGGAGAAACATGTAGTTGTTGCACATGTTTTCCTCCCAGATGGTTTGCTTCTTGCATTCAGCGGAAGCCCTCTGAATGGAAGACAACTCAACGAGTTAAACATGAAAGGAAATCTAGAGAGCTTGGAAGATGACCAATCCTTAGCTCAAGGATGTTCAATGGATAGGCTGTTATTCTTCCCATGGTTCCCATGGTGCAATGGGGCTGCTCCGATCGGCTGCGCTGAAAGGCGCGGTGGCCGGTGCTTGTACAATGGGATGTTCCAACATGAGGGTTGTGCCAACCAGCTCGCACAGCCCTTTTTGCATGCAATCCGAAGTTTTGGGCTCGTGGCACCTTAGATGGCCGGGACAATGGCTGTCCGCGAGGTGCGCACGGATGAGGGGATCAGGATTGTGACCCACCCTTTGCGGTTCAAGGTGTCTGAGTCTTGGTGGCATGTGGGCCTTCAAGGGGTGGTTGTTTTGCTACATTGGTTCATGCATGCTTTAGTGTAGAATGTACCTGGTTCATCCTGATTCCAACATTCCTCATTCCAATGAGGAGATCGCTGAGAAAATATTTCAGACGATCAAGCCGTACGTTGAGAAGAACATGTCCCACATTGTTGGGATGGCTGATTCGGATGTCACTTGGCAAGCTATATATATATTAGATTCTATATTTATACTGTATTTGGTATCATGTGCTGGCCAGGGTGTTTGCATGTGGACAACAATCCTCGACCTGTCATGAGATCAAGGTTGCAATAGTTCAGTGGGGTGAACGCAAGAAGCAAGCCATCTGGGAGGAAGACATGTGCAACAACTACATGCTTCTCCGTGACTACTTGATGGAATTTGGTGGAAAATCCCCGGTCCCTGACCTGATCCACCATGAGGCCAAGCTGTGCTGTTGTCAGGTGATGCCAGTCAAGTGGAACACAACTGTACTGGGTTCTTATAAGATCACAGCTGTCACTAGCATGTCCAACCGAAATCCTTTTGTTCAGGCTGCATTTCTTCTGGTCAGTGTGACCTACAACATGCACGCCCAGTTCTATGGGAAGCGAGGAGGAAGGGGAGTCATGAGAGAATCTTGCCTCAAGTGTGGTCGAAAGGGTATGTGCATGTATGTGCACATTAGGGCATGTTGGTGAGTTCAAACTGGAGTGAGGCCTTTGCCAATTAGGGCATGTTGGTGAGTTCCAACTGGATCCGAGGCCTTTGCCAATGTGGAAGCAACGCGCCTTAGATGTTTGGCGGCCCACATGATGCACATTACGCAAAGGTCTCCGCATGCAAGGCAAGGCTTTGTGTGAGCACGCTGCACGGTCTCATGCCCACTGGTTCCTCTTCGTGGCAGGAATGAGCAAATACAGGTTTTGAAGACCATTATCACCAAATTGCACCTCAAGTTGGGGAATCCTTTGCGGAAGCGATCTGCTTCATCAATGTCCCTTGATTCTGAGGTGGGCTACCCCAAACATGAGTGAAAGGGTTTGAAACCTTGTGGGTCAAAAAGCTTTGTGTTCACCAGGAGTCTTTGGCGGTGACCAACGCTTATATGCAGTCTGCAGACGGTTTGTTGGAGCTGAAACCCCAGGCTGGCTCACCTGAACTCAAGGAAGATCTTCAACTTGTTTTTTCTCCAGGATGATCCAACTACCCCCGAAATGGTGGAGGACTTGGAACAGGTGAATGCCTCAGATCTAGAATTTGAAGTGACAAATACACCACAACTCACAACGAAGGACTTCCACAATCCTTCCCCCAGCTATCTCCAAGGCACAGCAGTCACGTGATCGGCTGACGCCAGCTCCTGGAAGCACTCGGAAGAGTCTGAGTTTTGAGGGTCTTGAGGACTCAGACTCAAATGATGAAGAGGTGGGTTGATATCGTTGCATACTTTCTACATATTTTCAACGTACAAATATATATATATATATATCAGTAGATGCAGTTTCTGACCTGCTTCAATAGTTGCAGTTCAAATTTTCCGCTTTGTTTGGCAGCACAGGCTGCTCCTGAGACTCTCGCGAAGGAACTTCGATTGGTAACTCCAAAGGACACTGGTAGTAAATTGTTGCTGCGAAGAGTTTGTGTGTAGCCTCAACGCATATCCATGCCTACAGACTGAAAAGCGGACCCATTTATTGTCTATATGTCTGTTCGGCTTTGGTCATGTCATGGCATGGCTAATGGATTGGATGTGTGTCTACACTGGTTTCAGAGTGGTTGATGCGCGAGGATCGCAAAGAATCTCGCTCTCCGTTGGTGAAGAACCCGCCGACCTTGCCAGAGTTTATGCAAGAGCAGCAAGCTGCAGAGACCAGTGTGGAAGCACTGTATACCAAGCAGACTGCTTTGAAGAGTCTGCTTGATGAGGTGTGCGAATGGTTTTTGGTTTAGTCTTCTGTACATGGCGCATCATTATGCGTCCTTCCGCTTACCTGGTTTCCCTGATAGGAGAAAAGCAAGGAAGATGCTGCAAAGAAAGCAAAGAGGGATGCAAACAAGGAAGCAAAGAAACTCAAAGAGCAGCAGCCAAAGAGACCTAGAGGTAGGCCGCCAAAAAGGAACAATACACCAGCAGGGAAAAGCGAGACAGTGACTAGCCCAAAGGCAACTCCCAAGAAAAGCTCAAAGGCAGCCGCAAAGAAAAAGAACAAGAGCCCAAAAGCAATGCAAAAGAACAACACTCCAAAGACAGCTGCAAAGAACAAGAGGGAAACCCAAAAGAAGAGGGAAACCAAAACGACAAGTGCAAAGAACGCCAAGTCCAAGAAGCAGGTTCAGAAAGCTTCCCCAAAAACATCCCCCAAACCAGGAAAGACTGGGAAACGCAAGGCTTGTAGCCCTCGGGTTCAACCTGAGAACTTGCGGGCAAAGAGAGCGAAGGAAGTGTTGAAGGAACTGAGACAAATCAAGTGGGGGGCGACCAAAAACTTCCATGCCCCTGACCCCGGCACCTTTACCAAAATGACCCTCGTCAGTAATTACTCTAAATTTTGAAGTTTGAGTTCGAACTCACGCATGGGTTTGTGCATTTGATGGTTTGACTGTGTGAGTGATTTTACCTTTAAATGTTGCAAGCTTCTTCTAATTAAGGAGCTATACTCTGAATTTCGATGGCCGGAAGGATATGCCTTCGATTGGGGTAGTGCTCTACGCTCGATCATTTTGTGTTTCAAGGGTTGGCTCCGATGGCTGGCCAAAGGTGGCCACCGATCATGGGATTGAAGCCCCTAGTTTGCACATCTGTGGAATTTCACTGTCTGTTTATGATGTATATATATATATATATGTTTTATATATGTGTGAATAAGCTAGGTGGAGGGCTCCCCACTTTCTATGTAAGGCTGGATCAGATGGCCGCTCAACAGTTCCCTTTGGGGAGGATCCCAAAGCAATGCCCCTCTACTGCATTATGATCTAGAGTTAATTCTTTTGCCCGTAGCATCATTAGGTTTTGTGCGTGTGTGACTGGCAACTTTTGTCCATGCATTAGTTTCACGCATCAGGTTTGATGTGGCCAAGAAGATTGCAGGGTGGCCATCCTGAGGTGCCCGGCACATGCATGGCGTTGCATTATGTTAAACGTTGGTGTCACCTTCAACCCTCGAACTTCCCAAACTGTCCTCTGCAGCATCTGGCCAGGATCTTGAACTGCTGCTGACGCCTTGTGGCGCAAGCTTGGCAATGGCAACGACCATCTGAGGGGAAGAGTTGAAAAAATGTATGCGCTGGATTGCTGTCTCAGAATGAGTAGTGATTTTGATCCTTGCCCATTTGGTTACACATGAACCGGATTGCAACATTGGTTTGTGCATCGAAGAACGGGATTGTGGGGGCTGCATCCATGCGGTTAATGTGGAGAGTACTTTTGCCAAGGGGATTGTTTGAGCATCGAAGAATGGGTTTGCTGGGGCTCTCCAAACAGAATGGTGAGGGTCAACCAATTTCACACCCAGGCTTTTGGATGACTGACCAAGCTTTACGGTCAGGCTCTAGATGACTAACCGATTCTTATGGCCATGCAGGTCGCAATGTTCATGGCCTTGCTCAAGTCTATGAGCCTGCAGGCGGTGTTTTTTCTTTTTCCGGAATGTAGCTCCTGGACAGGTTGATCATGCTTCATGCCCAATACTGATCTGACTGTATTGGTGTTATAGCTCATAGTTGCAGTTCCATTTGCTTGTCCGTGTGTGGCTAGGAAGGTCTCCAAGACTGTTCATGTGTCTCAAAACATATGTACGAGGTCCACCAGTTGATGGATATACCGGCTCATCACCAACTTGGTTGGTTGTCCCTCCATGTAGCCCACAATGATTTGTTTTTGATTGCCCTTTGCCCGCCAGGTCAAAGCAGTGATGGCTTCCAAA